CTTTGAAGGCAAATGGAAAAAAGATAAACGTTAAGGGGACATATATTGGTATGATGTACTGACCACCTGATTTTTAAACAGAGCACAAATGGTCCCCCCCCCCCAAACCAGGGCAGGGCTACGGACTGAAGTTGTCTTTAGACAATTCCTGAAGGGGGGATATTATCATGTTCTTTTGCTCAGTAAGCAGACTTTGTGCTGTTGAAGCTAGAGAGATGAGCAGAGTAAGTCTGATTCCCTGTAAGGACTTCTCTGTTGGCGGCATCTGTATGCTCAGTAAAATTATAAAAGGGCTGATTTATCAGTGTCATGTTCATACTGTGCCAGAACAACATAGGGGGCACTGCTGCTTTTTCTTTCCTCATCCTTACTATCGTAATTTTTCCACTATTTCTTTTGTATGTTTGCCACTCTCTTGTGACCCGCTATTTCCCGGGTGCCTTGGTAGTCGAAGCAGACATTGTGCTGTTGAAGCTAGAGAGGTGAGCCGAGTAAGTCTGATTCCCTGTTTGGAATTCCCTGTTGATATCCAGCCCATGGTGCTCATATTACCGTGTCCTTTTGGAGATGGACGTTAAACTCGGAGGTCCCGCCTCATAAATAACATGATAGTGTTGATAGGGGCGTTAAACCTGTACCATTTCCCCATTTTCATATAATCTCATACAGTTGCTAGCGCCGTAAAACCTTACTAAAACAAACATATGTTGACATCCACCCCTTGGCGGTCATATAACATTATGCAGTTGCAAAAGCAGTAAAACCTTACTAAAACAAACATTTGATATTCACCCCTTGGCACTCATATGACATTATGCAGTTGCGAGCGCGTAAAACCTTACTAAAACAAACATATTATGTTGATATCCACCCTTTCGCAGTCATATGACCTTATGCAGTTGGGAGCACCGTAAAACCTTACTAAAACTAAAACTGAACTTAACCAGGTGTGCATGAATCTGGGCTGGAAGCCCAAGTACGGAAGGTTCGACGTTCTGCCGCTGGTGATATCTGTGGCCGGTGCCGACCCTGTGGTGTTTGACATTCCTCCGGATCTTGTGATGGAGGTGGACATAGC